CAAGGAAAATAAGTTTTGAAAGTATCAAAATTGTGTCTGCGTATTTAGAACAATTCAATTTCATATGTCATGCATTGAAAAGTCTATCGTGATAACATAAGCTAGCGTCACTGTTTATTAACGATTTAAGGCTTTTTAAATGTCGTGCATTGTCACCAATTGTCACAGCGACCCGATGTTTCTATATCGTTTAGGTAATACAACTTTTCCTTCTACATCAGTATACAGTCTGGTGATCACTTGGTGCACTTTTATAGCATCATCCTATCTCATTTGTTTGAGGGACCATTATGCCAAAAATCCTCAGATGAAACAAAAATCATATATGTTTTCAGAATGCAATACATAAATATACACAAGACAGAAAAGGCTTGGTGTAACATTCCTACCATTTATGGACCAATTCATCACATGTTCATCACATGTTTTGAATATTTGTCGCAATATTTGACCTCGACTTCCAACTCCTACAAAGAAATGAATCCCTTCTGAAGGTAACTTTGTCCTACGTAAAAATCACTTCAAGCCTTTAATACTCTCTCTCCCCCTCAATTATAATGATTGGGTTATTTTATGGCGTTTTACCATGCAACAATGAAAATTGTTAAATAGGATAAGAGAATATGCATTCTGCTCATGGAATTTGATACACTAACATTCACGTTAAGGATTTACAAACACAATTAATCGACAAATGATATGTTTATATTTATAATCGACCTTGCATTCTTCATTGTAATTGACTTTTACGTCGAGTTGTTTACTGCTTGACAATTTTAATTTTCAATAACAGCTTTTATGCAACATCTCATGTTGGATACCTCTGTGCTTTCTTCACATAACTATTAAATTATTGATAAAGGCAACGTCATCTCAACTCTACTCAACTCTGATCATTTGTTCTCTGACATGTGACCTGCAATCTTTATACTCGTAAATTGCATATCGGTAAACGAATTTTATTATTTCATTACCATTGACAAAATAGATGTTATATATAAAGAATAAAGTTCTTGTTAGTGATATTTTATTTTGCAGTTAAACATAATTGCATCTGTCATGAATTCCGGAGTATATTTACCAAAGGATTTTCAATTTGATTGATACATCGGTAAATTTAATAAAAAAATATGCCCATGTTTAATCTATATCGCTATCAAAGTGTAATCAGCTGCGTACTTGTAATTAAGTCAAAAAGCTATTCACTTGTAACAATTTTACAAATATATTGAAAATTATGTCAATTCACTACATGAACTGAAGTTATAAATATTTATTGTCAGTATTTCGATATCGTTTCTGTTGATATGCATTATTATTACAGGAGGTCTTTAAGTGAAATGATATAAATATGTATGTTTACATGACGAATTGTGAGTTTTCTTTTACAATTGTTGTTTCTAAGAGATTGGCATTCAAGAAGATATTTCAATCACAGAAATTAATTAAAATTTATGGAATTCTTACTGAATATGTATTATTTGAATAAAAGAGTAAATAAGCTATGTATGTTGCGCTGCGTTCCCTATTACAGGTCAAGTTAAGTTGGTCTTTTACTGCCAGGGTTTTAAATGACACTATATTTATATATCAAATTTGAGCATAGTAATCTTTAAGTGCACAAAATAAAATTGAATTGAAAAGCTCCATGCAGATGGCTTTTAATTCTAGATACACATGCTATTTGGTTATACAATGTCGAGCATTTTACATGATGTAAGCATTTTTACTTTGCGATATCTTAAAATTACTTGTTTATTTTATCCTCTTAGGTATATTAAAGTATTCCATGCGCCCCAGGACACCAGCACGTGTTGCACTTAAACACGTTTTTCACCGATATTTATTCTGCTCGAAAGAGATTACATATTTTGTCATTTAATTAGTTTACATTTTGTTCGCATTTTAGAGACAATAGGATATTTTTCGGTTAGTTTTAACTTTATTCATTCAATAAATTGAAAATTTTGTATAGAGTAGGTTTTCGGAATAGATGATATCTGGAACTCGGCAAGTGAGAGTTTTTCAATGTTACAGCTTCACACGCACAGTACACTGCCATCTTATTTCGTAATCTTAATTGTAAAAAGTTAGTTTGTACTCCAGGATTAGCTGGAAACCCAAAATATTCTTTATTCCAGAGTCAGGCAATACACTGAGAGACGTCTTAATGGGTTCGTATTATTGGGGTCCATGCATCTTTTTGCTCAAGCAGGTGAATTGATTTTGACACATGGTGTTGCTTTCAGTTTGTAACATCCGAGGTTAGCCAAAATCATCTTTCCTATTTCGGCTTATGACTTAAATTGTGTTGGTGCTCCTAAAAACCAAACAAAAGTCAATGTCCTGGTCATTTACCAAATGCGTAAATAAATTTCAATTTGTACGCGTATGCGTTAACACATTTTAAAAACAGTCCCCTTCCTTAAAATATGCAGTGCCTGTAAGTAACGGTACATGTACAATTCTATTTCATGAATATCGAACGTTAAAATTTCTTTGATAAAAATGAAAATGTTCATTTCCCGTTCGCTCCTCATTAAAATGTCATATTTGTTCAGGTGCATCAGTATTTACAAAATGCCGTTTGTCTTAAACTTTTACGTGAAATTATCCCCCGAAATTCATCTGAGAAAATTGTAAAATCAAATTAAGATTGTTTTTCACCTTACTTTCGGCAAAAAGGAAAAAAACACCTTATTTTCTACAAAGAAAACCGATTCACTAGGCTTGCCTTTAATCAACATGTAATAAAACAACAAGCCTTTAAAGCAGCACGCCTCCAGATTCATGCTTATTTTCATGAAAATTTTAAAAATGTGTTTAAAAGTTAAATTTTGTGAAATAACCAAAAGGAAGCAATTTACACATTATCAATGGCACTTAAAGCCGATGTAAATTACTAAAAAAGGGACAAAATATGCCAAATTAGTCCTTACTGCGTTAGTAACGCAGTAGAAATATGGTTATAAATATTGAAAAAATCAGTCATTAATCGCACATAACATGTAAATTATTACTTGAATTTTGAATATTTTCACTTTTCCTAAGATCTCAGTAAACTTTTCTCAAGTTTGATTTCATTGAAATATTTTCGCTTATCTGGAGGCATGCAGCTTTAAGCTAATTTATATTGTCAATATTTGATATTGAATTTCGGTTCTATCTAGTGTTCCGTTAAGTTATTTATGTTTGCATGGGAATAATGTCAATTGTTTTGTTTCACTGACTCAAATGACGTTTCAAGAAATTCTAATACTGGCAAATATTCATTTTGAACTTGAATATTTACATAACATAATTACAGGCATGCCAATATGTTTTATGCTATTGGATATAATCTAATTGTAGTTTTGCATATTTTGTTTGCATAGTTTTGGATATTTGTCGGACTTTCACTTTCGAATCAAGATTATCTTATATATCCGATGAAACACCTTGCTTTAAAAACATAAGCCAGAATATTTCTGTCAAATCTTGTTAGAAAATCATGTGATATTTATCTCACGTGAGACAACAACATGGTTCCACTTTCGTCAAATCATTTCCTACTAGCACCAATTACATATTTTGTTCTTTCTAGGCATACATGCTGTACTCTTAGTGATTTTGTTTGCAGATTACACAGACGTTCTTATTGTACGAGCGGTAAAAGAGTTTTAAACAAGGCTCGTTTGCCTAAGTATGGCCATGTGTTAAAAACAATCGCCAATTTAAATCCCGGGCGGAAACTCGTAAATGTTTTATTGTGAACGCTTGTGACCGCTTTAAATATACTAGTAATTATGATTTGAAAGCGTTGTTTTGCCAATCATGTATTGTTATCAATTTATTTTCCAACGCTGTCAGAAATGTAACTAAATTATCAAAACAAAATAATAATTATGTATTAGTGGATTTCCGTTGTCAGAAATATTGTTAATTCTAATTTGAGAACATTTACAACCAATTCATAGAATAAAATGCATTATTTTGTCCTCTATTTAGGAACATTCATTGATTGCATCTTTATGGCTGAGACAGTCGGCAGCTATTTACACGAATGTGCACATTCTAATTAAATCTCTGAATTGACAATTATTGCAAAGAAAGAAAATGTTACTATTTTAATTGATTATGTAAAAGTGAAAACGTGCCAAATGGTATTTACATGTATTTTAAGATTTTCAATGTTAAGTGACGCCATCAAAGGTTATATAGAATAAATGTTTCTTTTAGATTGTCTTGTTTTAACCAAACCTCGTGACGTTAGGAAGAAAGCTGCAACATTCGAAACATCTCTTTGTATACATCATGCTCTGGCTAGCCAGACTCAGGTCACGGCTGTTCAGGCCAGGTAAATTCCGGTTCTTAATGAACCGGCTAGCAAAAAAAAATTACAGTCAAATCTGCACAAAATGACACCGTGCTATATCATAAGATAATTTCATCTTCAACTTATAAGGGACAAGGAATCTCGTCATTACTAGCTAACCATGTAGATGGTAAGAACGAGTGTCCGCTCGCTGGTTTAAGTGTACGGCGATAAGAAATGTTCATAATAGTACTGTAACAATTTTAGCAAAACGCATCTAGCTTCATTTATAGAGGAGAAAAAAATGCTTATATGATCCTGGCACTTTTATAATTTTAAATCAGGGTTTATTAAGATTCCGAGGTAGTTTGTCACACTCTCCTATGTCACCTGTTACTGTAGGAAGCTAATTTTAGTGGTTGAAAAAAAATGAAAAAAACTGTTGTGTATAACTCTGTTATTCATTGGTCAGAATGTATTACTAATAAGCCCCGCCTACTAACCCTATCTTAGCATGCCACGCTCTGTATCAAATCAGTTAATAAACGATAGTTCAGCATTAAAGACGTGTTACTTCTCTATAGAAAACATAACAATCTGGCGACGAGGATAATTGAACATTAAATTTCGGGGATTTTATCTATTAGATATTAATGTAATTATCATAATATGTGTAAAATTCTGGATTTAATTTATAAGTTCTAAAATGGCTGCATTAATTGGACATTTATCTGGATTTGATGGCAATTCAGAATCATGGACATGCTATCAAGAACGTTTAGAGCAGTACTTTTTAGTAAATGAAATAGACGATGAGAAAAAAGTTCCAGCTTTATTAACTTTACTTGGAGAAAAAACTTACGGGTTACTTCGAAATTTGACATCACCGGACAAACCTTCAACACAGTCATATGACAATCTTTGTGAATTATTGAATAAACATCTTAACCCAAAGCCATTGATTATAGCTGAACGATTTAGATTTCACAAACGAAACCAAGCGGCGGGTGAAAGTGTAAATGATTATGTAACTACACTGAGGAAATTGGCAGAACATTGCGATTTCCAAGCCAGCCTAAACGATACGTTACGGGACCGCTTAGTTTGTGGACTTAAAGATGAGCACATACAGCGTAAACTATTGTCGATGGAAGACTTAAGTTTAAAGAAGGCTGTTGAAACAGCAGTTGCTATGGAAACAGCAACGAGGGACGCCACAGAACTGCAGTCGTTGACCGCAAGTGTAAATAAGGTTGAGAAAAGGAAACCTTCGAGAAGAGTTGAACACAGGCCACGGCAAAAACCGGCGACCGCAAACTCGACCGGGAAACAAAACGGAAAATGCATTCACTGTGGTAAAGATAATCATGCATCTTTCAAATGCCGATTTAAGAATGCCATTTGCCATGCATGTAATGCACATGGACACATAAAAAGTATTTGTCTGAAAGCACGTGCACGAGACGTACATGCCATGAACAACAACGACGTTCCTGTGATGAGTATAAATTCCGTGACCAAAGGTTCGAGCAGGAAAATCACCATCACACCAGAGATAGACGACAGACCCATACAAATGGAAGTCGATACGGGCTCAGCTGTTTCTCTGATGTCAAGAGAAGAGTTCCAGAAGTGTTTTGGAAATGTTACATTGGATAGGCCCACATCAGTGTTAAAGACATATTCTGGTGAAGAAATACAGCAAGCCGGAACAAAACTGGTAAATGTAAGGTACAATGGACAGTCAAAATCGCTGAAACTGTGTATTGTCATGGGCAACGGTCCCGCATTGTTTGGACGGGACTGGATGAATGAAATTGTATTGGACTGGTCACGTATTGTACATGTGAATTCAATTGATGATCACTCAACACAAACACGTATAGCCGATATTATGAAGCGATATGAGTCAGTGTTTTCCGACGGTATCGGGAAAGTTAAAGATATTAAAGCAACGCTATCTGTCAAAGAGAATGCTTCACCGAAATTCGTAAAAGCTAGGCCAGTACCATATTCGTTAAAGCCGAAAATAGAAAAGGAATTAGACATTCTAGAAGAACAGGGCATTATTACGAAAGTGAATACATCAGAATGGGCTACACCTATTGTGCCCGTTGTTAAATCTTCGGGAGGAGTAAGAATTTGTGGAGATTTCAAAGTCACCGTAAATCAAGCTATAAATGTAGATAAATACCCACTTCCGAGAATAGAGGACATTTTCGCGAATTTGGCAAATGGAAAGAAATATTCAAAGTTGGATTTACGCCAAGCATATCTTCAATTGGAGTGCGATGACAAAACAAAAGAAATGTTAACGATTAACACTCACAAAGGTCATTATTCTTATAATAGATTGACATATGGAGTATCATCAGCACCTGCAATATGGCAAAGAACAATTGATCAAATTCTTCAAGGAATACCAGGAGTACAGTGCATTCTCGATGATATGGTCATTACAGGAGAAAATGATCAAGCTCACTTAAATAACTTAGAAACAGTAGTGCAACGGTTGTCAAAATATGGTTTAAAAGTGAATAAAGAAACATGTCAGTTCTTTCAAGAGAGGATTACATATTGTGGTCATGAAATTGATGAAAACGGTCTGTGGAAATGTAATGATAAGGTGGATTCTATTTTAAATACACCACGTCCACAAAATGTCACATCTCTCAGGGCATATCTCGGATTACTAAATTACTATCATAGGTTCTTAAATAACCTAACCACGGTAATTAAACCGCTAAATCAACTGCTAGAAAAGGGGCGTAAGTTTGTTTGGACTAAAGAATGTCAAAACGCGTTTGCGAAGTCAAAAGATTTGATTACGTCAGAACCCGTCCTTACGCATTACGATCCGAAACTACCCGTACGGTTAGCAACGGATGCTTCCCCTGTCGGTATTTCTGCAATATTATCACATGTAATGCCCGATGGCAGTGAGAAACCAATTGCATTTGCAAGCCGTTCGCTATCAAAGTCTGAAAGAATGTACGCGCAAGTACAAAGGGAAGCTACTGCAATATACTGGGCAGTACACAAATATTATCCGTATCTATATGGTCGAAAATTCACGCTGATAACAGACTGTCAAGCACTGTTGTCTATATTCTCTCCGAGCAAGGGCATCCCTGCCACTTCTGCTGCGAGAATACAACGATACGCGGTTTATTTGTCAGGCTTTGATTATGATATAGAATATAAAAGTACTAAGAAACATACTAATGTCGATGGAATGTCACGTTTGCCCGCGCCATCAATATTAGAAAATGAAAGTAATTTTGAGGAAGTATTTTTCAATGAACAATTTGATAAACTTCCTATTACTAGCGCGCAAATCAAGCGTGAAACGCAGCGAGAACCTATCTTATCGCGTGTTTACGAAAATGTAAACAAGGGCTGGAGTCTGAAATTAAATGATCCTGTCCTGAAAGGTTATCACACGCGCCGGAACGAATTAACTATTCAAAGAGGCTGTTTAATGTGGGGAATTAGAGTTGTTATTCCTGAGAAACTAAGAGGTCAAGTTTTAGATCTTCTGCACTGTAGCCACAGTGGAATAGTTAAAATGAAAAATTTAGCGCGAAGTTATGTCTGGTGGCCTGGCATTGACTCAGACATTGAACACATGGTGAGACAATGTCAAGGCTGTCAGATGCAGCAGAAAATGCCAGAAAAAGTTCAACTTCACCCGTGGGAAAATGCGCGCTCTAATTTTGAACGCGTTCATGTTGACTTTGTAGGTCCATTTCAAGTTCATAATTATGTTCCTAGTAATAGTTTGTGCTCGAAGCAAATGGGCTGAAATAGAGGATATGGGAAATTGTACGTCTGCTGAAAAAACAGTGAATGTACTAAGGACCATATTTAGTCGTTATGGTATACCAAAACAATTGGTAAGCGATAATGGTGTACAATTTACATCAGATTTATTTGCGCAATTTATGAAAAATAACGGTATTTTTCATATAAGAACCGCAACTGCTTAACCCTCCACAAATGTTTTAGTGAAACGTTTGAACGGCACTTTTAAGTCAAGCATTCGAGCTATGAAACTTGATAAAGGAGACCTAAATCTAAAGTGGGCAAATTTCTTGTTAACATATCGCAATTCTGTAAATCAAAGCACACAAGAAAGTCCTGCGATGATGTTTATGAGCAGGAGTTTGCGAAGCAAGTTAGACTTTTTAAAACCGGATATAGACGGTTATGTCGAAAAACAAAGAATGAAACTCGCAACATCGGAATCGCGAAATTTCCGAGAGTTTAAAGAAGGAGACTCAATAATGGCGCGAGACTATAGGCCTACTTCAACCGAAAAATGGTTATCGGGTACAATTTTATCCCGCAAGGGACCTCTCATGTATAAAATTGATATCGGTAACAATCAAGTCTGGAGAAGGCATGTTGACCAGCTACGGAAATCAGAAATGAATAATGAGCTTTCTCGCCGAGAAAGTTCACCGTTAAACATGATCCCGCTTAATTTGTCAGAAATGCCAGTTATGACCGAGAGAAATGACCCTTTGTTAGTAACTGGTAATCCTGAGAAAATGCCATCATTAAATGAAAATAAAAGATCAGATCAAATGTTAATGGAACGAAGATACCCATTGAGAGAACGCAAACCACCTAATCGTTTCTCATACTGAGTTGACTACGTAACTGTATAACCATTCGAGAGCGTACAGACAGTTAATGTGCTATCTAATTAAACATTACACTACTTTGTTGTAAAAATACCACTGAATGAACTCGTGTGAACTGTAATAAAAGTCAAATGTGAATTACGAACAATAGGTCAATAGTTTGATCTGGTTTACGAATGAATTAATCTCGTATATCTCATGTTGTTAAATTATTCTACCAGTTGTCTCTTTCTTGTTATTTGATTATATTTTTAGTATTAATTATATGATAATGGACTAAAATGTTAAGAAGGGAGAACTGTTGTGTATAACTCTGTTATTCATTGGTCAGAATGTATTACTAATAAGCCCCGCCTACTAACCCTATCTTAGCATGCCACGCTCTGTATCAAATCAGTTAATAAACGATAGTTCAGCATTAAAGACGTGTTACTTCTCTATAGAAAACATAACAAAAACAAATGATTTTCAATGTTCAATGTAGTTGAAAACATTATTCGCTACTTATAACAAATACGAGCGGCGATTATTCCACAATACTATGCCGGTATTTTTCAAAGGTACCGCCGTATCGTATCGCTGGCAGTTCAATAGTTACCGGTATATCGACCATACATTGCACCTCTGAATTATAATTATTACGAGTGATTTCGTTTTGAATACTCTGGTATTTTGCCGAAGTGGAACAAAAAATTAAATGCCAATAGTCATTTAAGCTGATATCATGAAATTTCCGGTTGGCTCCTGTGAGACCTAGGATCAATGGTAGAGAACCGGATAAGGTGGGAATGCTTAGAGAGTCATGCCGTGTGCTCATGTGTACCCGTCTTGAATACGCTGAAGTTCTGTCGCATTGTCGCATTTCAATACATTTTGTTTGAACCGTTCTTATGATTTAACCTCATGATTACCAATTTCTTTATGGAATTTTGAAAGGAAGTATCACCTATTAATTATAAAATGCGTACAAACATTATCATTTCACTAAAAGACATATTATAATAATGATATTGCTTTCAAATTTATGAGTTAAGTTCATGTAGTAATTTGATATAATTTTCAATGTATTTGTAAAATTGTAACACATGAATAGCTTTTTGACTTAATTACAAGTACGGAGTTGATTACACTTTGATAGCGATATAGATTAAACATGGACATATTTAAAATTTACGAGTCTTCTTATTTAATATACGAATGTATCAATCAAATTGTAGAACCTTTGGGTAAACATACTCTGGCTTTTATGACAGATGCAATTGAGTTTAACTGCAAAAAAAATATCACCAACAAGAATTTTATTCTTTATATATAACATCAATTTTGTCAATGGAAATGGAAATATAACATTCTTCATCGAAGTAAGACGTTACCGCTATGCAATTTACGAGTATAATGTTTGCAGGTCACATGTCCTTAAAACGTACTAGAGTACAAACGATCAGAGTTTAGAATAGAGTTGCCTTTATAAATAATTTTAATAGTTCTGTGAAAGCACAGATGTATCCGAAATGAGATATTTGTTTGATTTTACATTACACATGTTTATTTTTAAATTGCATTACTTTGATTTATGAAGAAAATTTTCATGATATAAATATTGACTTTGCATTTTGAAGGAAAATAGATTTTTTAAAGTCTGCGTATTTAAAACAATTTAACGCTTTCATATATCGTGCATGGAAACGTCTATCGTGATAACATAAACTAGCGTCACTGTTTATTAATAACGATTTAACGCATTTTATATGTTGTGCATGGAAAAGTTCATTTTAATAATACAACCTGGTATCACTGTTTATTAAGAACTATTAATTAATAAAGAACTATCGTTTTACATATTATGCAGACGAAGTGCTGTATAATATTACGAAGAATGTCCTGCCATCGCCTTAAACAGATACCAATATTCAACAAGAAAGTTTTATTATCAATAGTCTGAGTAGCAACTGTATACGCATATATGACTTAAAGCCCGATATATAATAAAAAGTTGCCTAAAGAAGATTATAATACATTTATATCTTATGGGGTGGGGGGCAGAGAATACGTCAATACACCATACTGGGACATTCCAGCTTTAGTGGTGGAAGAAGAGCTCACCACAATCCATAAGCTTCCTAGCTTCCTCAGATGAAAAACTCTAAGGTCACTGGCGAAATTAGACCCCACAGCTGCGAAAACATAAGTGGTTTAAAGTCAATGACCATTTTAGCCTCTTGACGACGGCACGGATGCCAGTTTTCTTCCGATTGTTTAGTCATTATGTTGTTATCATTATCAAATTTTATCTTTAGTGATTAATTGATTACATACATACAAATGTATTTTTAATAACCGTTCAATGTCAGTTTTGCTTCAGTAACAACACATTGAGCAAGAACCATGCAGGTTTTGCGACATGACTTTTATTTCAGCTACACAGTTGCACAACCAAATACACAAAACTATTATATTTGTAAAATTATAGGGCCTGGAAAAAATCAATCACATTTATTGTCAAATGAATGATTCACTATAGAAATATATCGGACAATTATTCAACACAGCTTTCCCCTAACATAAAATTCTTTGATAACGTAATATGATATATTTCAGTCAATTTATTACTATTTACAATGCGTTACATAGATGCATGCGCTTTTAAGCGCTATACTTTCGATCTTAAGGATTACGAGCCCTAAGATGATAATCTTGAAGTTAGATATACAGATGAGCTATATAAGATAAATAGCATGGGACTAGTTTAAGTTGAACTACAAAAGTAATAAAGTATTGAAAATAGTATAAGCTTTTGTAAGTGCTAAATTTAACAGTTGTTTCAGAACAAAGAAAAGTAGATGTCTATTGTTAATCAATATAAACTCTCAAATATTCCTCAGTTATGATAAATCATGTACATGTAAAACAAATAGTGAAATACATTTTGTAACTTTTCATTAGGAATTGCAAGTAATCATTTCAGTATGGTATCTCAATTTTTCTGTATTAATTGTTTGATTTTGAAGACCATTTTAACATCTTTGTGGTATTTCCTCATAACCGGCTTTCAAGAATAACTCATTAGCCATTTCTAATTACTCCTCGATGACCATCTACTTATCTCTTTTAATTTCTTAGCAAGCTATGAGAGACAAATGACCAATTTATTCATTATCCGTGACGAGTTGTCACTGGGAAATTTATCATCACCCTAATATAAAACATAGAACATTGACTCAGAGTCAGAACCAGCGAACATTAGACTCCAATTCCGATGCTTTCCCTTAGCAATTCAAGCGTACACTTAATAATAACAAAACTAATGATGACAAGAACTCAAACAATAATAAAAAACAGTATTTATCAGTTTATGATACTATAATGATTGTGAATGTTAGGTTTACGTGGTTTATAATATGAGCAATCGGGAAAATGTAAGTTTATCATCCGATCATTAAAGCACGGTAAACATTACTCTTCTGACGATTTAAAGTATTCTTGTCTAGGTTGGTATCTATAAATAAACTTACTATTATATCATATCACAATATAGATAAATACCTATTGTCGTTATTTTCCGGCACATTTTCATTTGTCCAGTCTGGAAGACCTTTCTGACATGTTTCCAATGGCAAATGGCATGGAATGTAAGACATGTATTTCAAGAATAAAATACAAAACACGAAAGATCAATATAATCTCCTGGGCTATTACCAACTGTGTAATTTATAAAATATATTCATGTCTGTCTATACGTAAATGTAAACGATTGACCAAAGCAGAGTCAACTCTACTTTTGATGGCCAATTCACAAAAGAGATCATCAAATCCCATAATATAAGACGGACTAGCAAGGACACTAAGACCAGACGTTTCTATATAGTTTAGGAAATAACTTACGCGCCCTTAGCAGCTACAGGTAAGAAAGTGAACGGTTGTGGAACATTCGGCCAGTGCGCAGAGAAAAAGAAATACATTTTCAATGAGTGCATTTATATCAGAACGCAGTCTGATTAATATTTTATTTTCATATCCCATTTGGTTGAATCATATTTCGCTGAATTTGTGCTCTAGATTTTCATAACTTGTTACATGTTAAAACAAAACTTAAATAGAAATAATTGGTAAAAACTAAAGCGCATCAATCACATGTGTTATTAAACCATTATATCTTGATTACTAAAAAAATTGAATTTATGTTTTTAAAATGACACTTAATCTCATTTCAACATACATAACTATTTCAGGAATATCATTAAGCGGGGAAAGATGTTTTATCATGTTAGCTAACTAATATTTTTCTAAACAATATTCTCATTGCAGAGAATCACAAATGCATTTATTGATAGCGCGCATTTTAATTTCATTTTTTCAATTTGTGGAAGAAAATTGATTTGATTTATGTCTTTACAACTTATAAAATCTTCGAACGTCTAGTGTGCATTTTAAAGAAATAGATGTATGAACAGTACAACAACTTTAACATGAAACAGTCAACACCCTCGTGATATAATTATTCGCATCCGAATTCGAACAGTAATTTTATTGAGCGATAAAATCACTGTTTGGGATATATTATTTCTTAATTATATATATCATATTCATGCTGTGTTTCTTTACAAACAAATCAGCCTCTTGTGAAATATGACTCAAAATGTCATTTTCTTGACATTTGAAGTAACAAAGTGCAATAACTGAAACATCATTGGGTAGGTTTTAATGAAACTTTATGGTTCTCATTTAGTTAAACATAACGGAATCTAAAAAGTTAACGAATAAAATCACAATAAAATATTCTTTATGCGTACATAAATTTTCTAAAAATATATGCTAAACAAGATGCGAAGCCTCATAATATTATAACGAAATAAACTATTTTAGATCATCATCAAGCGGATCGTTGAGGCAAATTATTCTTAATTTGTAAAAAAAACTTTAAAAAATAATTTTATTACAGTGAAAAACAGACGGATTAATTGACAGGGAACATTTTGATCCCATTTTGCAATAAGCGGAAATAA